GACAGAAAGCTCTTCAGATGGCCTCTGGTTCTGCTCCACCTTCTCCCTTCCTTTCTCCATCATCAAATTCAAATCCAAATGCTTTTCAGAAGCCTAGTGGAAAGGCTGGAGTTCCTGTTTGCTTTGTTTTGGGGGTTGTGACTGCTCACACAGTTATTGTCATAGCCGTAGGTAGGCCACCCCTGAAACTATAACCCTAAGCAGACCTAAGCCAACCATCATTGGGCTTTATTGTTGTTGTTTTGTTACAGTGTTTCCTTTGAATCCAACATTTATTTCCATATTGAAATAAAAATCTACTTTAATTCCAGGAAAAGTCTCCTTAAACCTAGTTTCAACTTAAGAAAATGAAGTATTGGACATTATTCAAACTAAGATTATTGAGAAGACCTGTTTATAGTTTGCAGAAAGTATATGTGAGCATGAAAGTCATGCTTCTACCCTGCTCTTTCATGTATACATGTTTCATCCTCCATAGCAAGGACTAAGTTGGTTAATATGAACAAAAACTAGGAGGAACAATTAGGACTGCGAAGGATTTGTGATTTCAGTGCCTCATAGTTAATAGAAGTCCTATGATAAATACAATCTAATACAGAACATAAGCCCCAAAGTCACATTTCAGGGAGTTCCACAGGAAATCCAGGGAAGAGAGGTTCTTGAGAAATGATCCTCACAAGAAGAGAGCCCTTAGCAGTAGGTGGCCATCAGTATCATTTTCTATGTACCATGAAATGTAATCAAGAAAGTCATTTGAAAATCTGACCAGCTCTTCTCAGATACCACAATTTTGCTGCTGCAGAAACAGTTCATCTGGCCTTGAAGCACTCTTCACCTCCCATGGCTTTATAAAGTAACAAATAAAGCAGGGCACCATGAGTTCATCTCCCAAGTTATTTTCTAGTTGGGATGATGATGAGCCATGAACTCAGAGTCTTCTGTCATGCCATTTCACTCTCAGATAGGAAGGAATCTATTTGTCACTGCCTGTGCATCTTGTGCATATTTATTAAATAAAAGATTTTACCCTTTCCTTTCATTAAACACAGATGATTAGTTCATTAAATATATGATATAAAATAGAGGAAATAATTATCCTTAAATGAATGTTTAATTTATAAGTTTTATCTGTACTATGTAATTTATACACCAGGTGATAGCGCTTAAAGGTTTGCTATTTCATTGCAATTCACTTAAACCTCCAACACTCTTCAAATGTAAAGCACTATCTCAGGATAAGACTTCTATGAATCTCTAGGTGCAGATGTTACTCACCCAAACACTGGTGCGTGGCAGGCTCAGATGTCCAGAGAGGCTCAACTAGAGGTTCAAAAGACAATCTCAGTCTTATATTGTTTGCTTCCAGCATGTTGCTCAGAAAATTCTCTCTCAAGTACTTTTCAGTGTTCATTCTTTCTAGTACAGAAATTATCAGCCTGTATCCAATCTCAGCTTTAAAACATGTGGAGATTGGGGGAGGTTCCCAAGTGCACTACTTCTGAACTTTGTTCTTTCCTTTAAAGGGATGTGATGGCTTACCCATTTATTTATTCACTCGATGTTCATTGAAACCTACACTATAGCAGATGTGGTGCTAGGTCTGTGACAATATGATTTAGTCATTGGAGGCTGGGGAATACTCTATGAAGAGTTACAGGAAGAAAGTGGTCTGTGAACTAATCCAGTGATTATTTTTATTTATCTACATACACCGTCCTCTTTTTCTTTTATGTTCCTCTTTTTTTATTAACATGTATTAATTATCCATGGTAAAGAGATTTGGTGTGATATTTTACTGCATGCATGCTGTATGCCTTTTATCCACTCCCCACTTCACAACCTCACTTCACAACCTCTAGTAATTAGAGGTCTACATCCAGGCCACTTTCCCAAATTCCACATAAGGGGGAAACACATGGTATTTGTGAGTAACTGTGATGAAGTGTGTCCCTGGTGAAGACAATCTCCATATAAATTGTGTGAAGGCATAACAAAGGTTGAATACCCAAAACTGTATATTAAAGATAAATACAAACTGGGAGAAACAAGATTCCTGGATGCTGGGGATTGAACCCAGGGCCTGGTGCATGCTGGACAAGCACTCCGCTCCTGAACCATGTTTCCAGTTCTTTAAGGTCTTGACATCCAAGTCCTAATATCATTGTTAAGTGAGATGAGCCATTTCTTAAATATTGATCAAGTTAGAGCTTAACAGATGGTCAAATGTCTTTTTCTATACCAAACACAACACAATGTCAATTTTGAACATGTAGAAAAGTAAGTGAAATAATTTAGAAATTCAAACAAATTCCTGCTAAGCAGACATATCCAAAGCCTGTGTATCAGTCAGTTGCAGGTACTAGATTAGAAATATTTCATAGATAATTATTCAACAATAAGAGAGATTTGTCATTATGCTTAATAAGAACTATAACCCAGCATTTAAAATCCAAATGTCTATAAGACTATTTTTACAAATAACATAAATACCTCTTTCCAATGTAAAGAAGAGTTGTTAGAAATAAAGCAGGTACAAATTGGACAATGTTTTATTTATTATCAGACATAATCTTTTTCAAATAATGAAGCTTCTCCATCAATATAAAAATATTACTAATGGTTCTTAATTTATTTAGAAGTTAACACACTATAAAATATTTATTTTGCTAGTAAGAATAAATATATTAATTCAGAAAGAAAAATTACAAGTCTCATTCACTAATTAAATTCATATTTGTTAAACAGTAGCAAAGCATAATACACATTTGTTAGTATGAATGGCAAATACTTTCCATACTCAATATAACAATATAATTCAATATAACAATATGACTCAATGTAACAATATGATTCAAGTACTCACTTATAATTCTAATGCCCTACTATGTAACTAAATTGTATAGCTAAAATTGAGCTTCAGTTTTTTTGCTCTGTGTGTGTGTGTGTGTGTGTGTGTGCATGTGTGTGCAGGCATATCTGTACCATGTTGAGCAAATGAAGGTTAGAGGACAACTCTCAGAAGTTGGTTCTGTTCTAACAAACTTTGTTGGATCGAGAATTGTACTCTGGTCATCAGGTCCGTGTGCAAGCTCCTCTACTTGCTGAACCATCTCACTTGTCCCAAATTTCAACTTTTAAAAAGCCTGAAAAATACTGAACTCAGAAAGGTGGTTTATAATTTCAGAGAGAGAGAGAGAGAGAGAGAGAGAGAGAGAGAGAGAGAGAGAGAGAGAGAGAGAGAGACCTCAAACTTCTGCTAATATGAATTAAAATCCAAGTGTTCATTATTGTCCTTGGCAATTTGCATATTTGTACATAACTGTGTAGAATTACCTTCTTTCCCTCTTTCCTAATACTAATAAAGTTAGCTTCCATGATGACCCAGAAGGTTCCACAGGCTTTGCTTTCAGTTTGTTTTGTAGCTTTGCAAACAGCTTGATGTAGCATGTTTCTGAGCCTGCACTAAATGGAAGATGCTTCTGTAAGATGCTTCATCCCATCTCTGCTGCAGCCTATATCTACATGTGTTGCTTCCACATGTTGCAACACTACAGACCTCTCTTCTACCTGGTTCCTTACACTCTTCCTGCTACCCATCCACAATTTTCTTTACCTCACACAACACCCTCTTCCTTTTGCTTAATGGGCTTTACCTCAAGTTTACTCTGAATTCTTTTGAAAGAGCTCTTTTACTAAGCATTTTTGAGACTGAAAGAGTCTTGGGACTATGATGGTAGTACTTGATCACCTCATGCCTCTGAGATTTTGGAACATGTAAGCTTCATGTCTAGTTTTGCTAGTAGACAGAAAAACCATCTACTCAAGTTTCTTCTTGAAATATATTTTCCTGTAGTTGGAAACAAGTATTTCTATATCTCTGTTACCTTCATTGTGTCATATGTAGGTTTTTATTTTATTTTTCTATTGTTTAATTTGCATTTAAGGATAGGCATTTAGGAGCAATTCAAGTGTATGCTCTCTTTTGTTTAGGTCACTGTCATGTTACTTGGTCCACATGTAGTTTTATTTTCTAAACCTTACTTCATCATCTTACAAGACAGATGTAAAGAGATATCACTTTTAAAAGACTTCTGCCTAAAGTATCTGCTTTCTCCATTACTCTCCTTTAAGTTTAACTTACATGATATCGTGTCCACTGCCTGGTAGAAGTCTCCAGGCCACTGTGCTTAATTCTACCAGAGTCCACCTGCCTATTTCATGTGGGCTATGTTCATATTTATGGGTCTTAGAAGGTTTTTGTCTTTTCATGGTTGTGATTCAATGATTTTCCTTGCATCTGTCATTTCTTGGTCTCTGTTGTAGCTCACAGGGTGGTCTTTTGGCAGTGCTACTCATTGTAGGACATGGATTCGTATGCCAGTAGACTGTACATCACACTGCTACAGCTTATGAAGGCAACTTCCTCCTCCATTAGTCACTAATATCAGTTCATCTTCCACTCAGTGCACCTAAAAGCTTCTTAGGAGAAATGTAAATCTTTCCCTTAGTTGTGCCTGGAGTGAGGACAGCACAGGTCACTATGGTCAAATAATTATTGTATAACTCAAAAGTTTAAAGACATCCAAAACTATTAGTCTTTTATCAGATAATATCATATATGTGTGTGTGCATTATATAAATGAATGAATTTACTTTTTATATTACTTGCAAACATAGATATTAGTGGTATATTGGAATCAAACAAGATATATAATTCAGGAGCCCTTTTCTTGTTTCGCTGGAGAGAATTAATTTGCAGAAAACTATGACTTAATTAATTACATGGTGTTTTGAGTTTCAGATTGTGTCTAGGCTGTACCTTGCAAGAAATGCATACTCCCAAATGTAGGAACACACACACACACACACACACACACACACACACACACACATATATATATATATGTATATATATATGGCTGAACAGACTATCTTGATACACTCAAACATCAACAAAAACAAAAGTATTAGCTATGTAGTGTTTCAAAAATGCCTCCCAATCAGAACTTAGTGCCTAACAACATCTTGTGTAACCTCCTGCGAATCTCCTTTGTCTTTATGGAGTAGATAATGGGATTGAGCATTGGAGGGACAAAGAGATAGACCAAGGATGTGAACTTGTGCACACACTCTGGGGCATGCTTTACAAATCTGTGGACCATTGACACACTAATCATAGGCACATAGAAAATGAGCACAGCAGATATATGTGACACACAGGTGTTGAGTGTCTTAAATCTCTCTTCCCGGGAGGCAATGGCCAGCACAGAGCGCAGAATGAGCATATAGGAGAGAAGGATGAGCACTGAATCTACACCAAAGGCAGAGATGACAATAAACAGACCATATATGCTGTTGATGGTGGTATCTCCACAAGGTAGGCGTATCAGGTCTGGATGCAAGCAGTACGAATGGGTCAAAACATTGGCCTTACAGAAGGGTAGCCTCTTCAGTAGGAAAGAAGTGGAAATACCATGCAGAAGCTACGGACAATGATAGACATGCCTATATGGGCTACACGGGTATCAGTAAGCACTGAAGAATAGTGCAAGGGGTTACAGATGGCCACATACCTGTCAAAACTCATGGCCAGCAGAATTCCAGATTCTGTCCAGGAAAAAAAGTGTATGAAGAACATCTGAGCCAAGCAGGCATCAAAGGCAGTCTCTGGGACATGAAAGCACATAGAAGCCAGGACTGTGGGCAAAGTAGAAAAGGATACACCCAGGTCGTTGACAGATAGAAGGGACAGGAAATAGTACATTGGCTGGTGCAAACTCTGTTCCTCCTTTATGATGAAGAGAATCAGGGAATTGCCTACAATGGAGATAATGTACAATAGCAGCAGGAGGGCAGATAGCCAGTGCTCCATATTCTCCATCTCCGGGAAGCCCATTAGTGTGAAGCTATTGGTGCTAGAGGTGTTAGTCTGGATGATCCTCATCAGGATTTCTGAGTAGCTACCCAAAAGCTGTAGGGAGATACAACAAAGTGAAGTGAGGCTGGGTCATGGAAAAAGTGAAGAGTGGTAAGTAAGTGTCTTGAGATCTGAGGGAAGTGATGCTTAGATTCCCACACCGAAGACCATGGGAAGATGAGAAAAGAGCAAACTGTATGAGCCCTTTCCCTTTCCCAAGAGAATTACCTTGATCCTTTGTTAAATATTATCCTTTATTCTTCCTGACATGGTATTTACAGGTGCTTACATCTGTATGATATGGCCTTTCTTGCATCTGGTTTTTAGATATCATCATACAGCAAGTGCTCAATGAATTCTGTTCTTAATACAGCAAGGCTGATTTATTCTCTTCATTGCAAGTTATAACACCTTTTGATGAGATTATGTCTGCTTTCTTCAGAATTGAAATATCATCCCAGTAACTCATCTCTTTGTTGTTTGTTTAAGCCCCTCATTTATTCACTAGAATTCAATAACCCTACTCTTTGCCACTCCTGTTTGTTTTTTATTTGCTTCTTGTATGTTCATATGTTTCCTTGGGTCAAATAGTCTCAAACTGAACTTTATGCTGCATTGACTTGAGGAGCTTAAAAATGCTATTCAGGCCACATGCATAGCAATTGTATATCAAAGCCTACAAGAAGGACTAAGGAATCCACTAAAAAAAAGATAATATGTTTTTTCCCAGTCTGTCTTATTTTACTTAATGTTATTGTCTTTAGTACATGTATTTTTCCTGAAACGATATGATTTCATTGTTCCTTATATGTGTGTATGCAAACAAATGTGTATGAAACACACACACACACACACACACACAGAGAGAGAGAGAGAGAGAGAGAGAGAGAGAGAGAGAGAGAGAGAGGGATTTCCTTTATCTATACATAGATTGGCACATCCCCAAGGTGATTTCAGAGTTTGGATCTTGCTTTACTGTATGTTATTCATTCATTTGTTTTTTTATAGGTAATTACAGAGACAAACATGTGGTTCCTAGATTAGTATCTTTCTTATCTTTCTCCCTTAGTAAATTATGAACTCCCATCATCACCTGAATTTTCTTTTATTTTGAAATATATCATATTTTAATTAATCTATTTAGTGGAAGAGAATGTACCATGACATACGTGCAAATCAGACAATAACTTGCAGAAGTTGTTTCTCCCTTTCTACCATGTGGGTCCCAGGAACCAAGCTCGGGCTATGAGTCTTGGGGCCAAATGCCTTTGCCAGGTAAGTCATCTCACATCTCCTTTCTTCTCATTTTATCCTCAATGTTTAGGCAGGTAAGTTGCCATACAAGTTCCTAAACTAGGACTCAGAGATTTCTAGCTCTAGTTTCAATTTTACAAAATGGTATTAAACTGGTAAACTGCTTTAATAACAATACATTAACACCGATGTTTTAAGTGTAAAATTATTGATACAAGTAAATTAATGTGAACTCACTTTTCCACACACCAACTGTAAATTTAACTTTACAATAAATTTTTTTACATTTAAAGTATATGTAAATCAATACAACAGAAAGTACTTCATGTGAATATTCAGGCCTCTACTGTAAGTCACATGCTGAATATATGACAAATAAAGTAGCAACAAAATCAGATTCTTGAAGGGTTAGAATACCTGGTCTTGTCTCCAAACTACTATTCTAATTCCAACCAGTTTCCCATTCAAAAATTCTCTTCTTTTGTATCATTCTTTTCTAATTACCTGATGAGAATAACCGAGTTAATCACACTGAAGCATTGATCCCAATCAAAACTATCTGTGACAAACAAAAACCTAAATGCATTTCTGAGGCACCATGCTAGGACCTGTAGTATAAATGGAAAATCAGGCCAGAAGAGTGAGGTTGCAATCATTAAGAACAAGATGCTGACTTGACAGTCTTTCCTGAAATCTTTGTGCTCTAGTCATCTCAGAATCCAAGAGTTAGAAAAGAGGTTGATGAACATCCCAGCCAGAGAAGGGCTGAGGTCCCCACTTACGTCTTCAGGGTAGATCTAGTAGCTGTGAGAAAAATGGTAGCCAAGGTGCTTGCCCAGAGAAGAAATACCAATTACTCTACAGCCTCAGAACGCAGCTCTGCTCTTCATGCTGTGCTAGTCGATAGTCTCTTTCTGCTCTGGGATCTATGAAGCTGCCTCATAAGAGTCCCTTGAGCCCAGGTAGGACAGTCTGGGGAAATGGCTAGGGAGTGGGAAGTATGAAAACTCTTGAGTAACTGTGCTCCCCTGTGGTCTGTCGTTCCTCCCACTTAAAGATATCAAACTTGAGAGTAAAAGCTGAGGTTGTCCTGGTGTGATCCACATGTTCAGCTCTTCCTTTGGGAGAACTGAGACTCAGAAACAGCATATTCTGCAACTCAGCATCAGACCTGGGTAGAATCTCAGACGCATGGATTCCTCCTGGCTCTCAGAGAGGGATTTTTCTGTTAACCATTCCATGATTGAAACAGATTTCAAGAAAGGAATAACACAGCCAGTAAAAGTCTAGCTATGTGGTGTCAGCAAACAGGTCAAAACATCCTGTTCTGTCTGGAAAGCCACCTGATTAACTGATAAAAGTCTTTCAAGACAAGAATCTACATGACAGCTGGGTGTTAGTGGTGTATGCCTTTAATCCCAGCACTCAGGAGGTAGAGGCAGGTGGATCTCTGTGCATTCAAGGACAGCCTGGTCTACAGAGCTAGTTCCAGAACAGTCTCCAAAACAATAAAGAGAAACCTTGTCTAGAAAAAAAATTTTTCAAAAGAATCTGCCTGACAATTTGTTGCCATGTAGCCAGCCTTATTTTCAAAGTGCACTTCCTCAGGCTGGAGAAATCCTTCAGTAGTTAAATGTCCCGCGCTACCGTCTCGCCAGCAAGAACGACGCGGCACACAGATAGGATCCTTCTGCGATAATAGCTTTAATGCTTCTTGAGAGGCAGAGCATAAGCTTACACCAACTGTAGAGCGAAGACCCCGAGAGCAAAAACCCACACCCTTATATAGAAACTCAGCCTCGCTTTAGGACGTGTCACTCCCTGACTGGTTGCTCGCTCATCAGGCCGAATGACGCCACAGGAGAGGCGCGGGAGAAATCCCCTTGCATGCGCGCACAGGCTTATTTATGCCAACCGCCAGCCGGATGCCAGTGCCATCTTGTAATGGAGAATGTAGGGACGGCTCCCTACAGTTAAAAGCACTGACTGCTCTTGAAGATGACCCAAGTTTGGTGTGGCACCCACATAGCAGCTCATAACTATCTGTACCTCCAGTTACATAGAGAAATGATTTACAACATCAGAATTTGAGCATAAATTGTCCTGATGCACATCCAAATTATGTTCACTGTCCATGCTATCTCTCATCAGAGCTAGAGAATAAAAGAGACATCAATGAACATATACTCCAGACAAGTGTACACTAGGAAGAAATCTTATGAAATCATTTACTTCACTTAAGATAAATACTAGAGAGTTCAGCAGAGAAGGTAAGCACATTCATTTAGGGTAACAGAAAAGGCATGTATGCTAAACCCTTGCATGTTAGCTATATTTAAATACAATTTTATGTATTAAAGTTTTCCTTACTGGAATTATTAAACTCTTATACCTGTTGGAGAGTTCAGTTTTCAAAGATAAAATTTTATCTAAGGTTAAAAAAAAAGTATTACTGTGTAGAAACAAACATATACACATTATCACAAAATAAAGGATGCAATGACACAAAGAAAAATGAGATTTGAAGGATATCACTGAAGAAGTCATCACAAAGCACCGGAACTAGCCCACTCACCACAGGATTTCATATGCTAATGCCTGTCCATTAGTACATGTCCATTAGAATTCCAAGCATGGCTTGAATTTCATTTAAAAAAAGAATTTATTGAAGATCTGAAAACAATTTCTCAAAAGTTTACTTTTTCAGAAGTCTACAGCTATATGATGCATTGCATCCATGTGTTAAACACTATAATAGACACTAATACGTGAATCATGAAACAATCATGACACTGTTCTTACACAGTTTCAACAAAGACAAAATGTTTAAGCAATACCATGGAGGACTTGAAAAATGTAGGTTCTGCTGGCACCATCAAAAGCACCTGATTTAGAGTTCTTTGGTTATACCTAAGAGTAACAAAGAAATGTTATGTAATATTTGAATTTTATTTTTTTGAGGAGCCTCTACACTGATTTTTGTAGTGTCTACACTAATTTATATTCTCACCAGAAGTATGTAAGAGTTCCCCACAGCCTTCTACACATTTGTTATTTGAAGATAAACATGTTAATTGTCTTTGCTGGCTCAACTGGAGGGAATGCATGCCTGATGTGATCAACCAAGTTACAAACCTATGGATAGAACAATCATTGGCCCTAGAAAGAAGCCTAGTATTCTTAAACTTGATTTAGTTTCCAACTGCTTTCTAAATACTCATTCTTATGACCATAAATAAGTGCAGTACTCACACCATCAAAGAAGCTTCTTTGTGAGAGAGATGGATATATAGAGAGCGACCCAACAACTAGGCAAAATGCAGAGAATAAGTGACCATGTGGTTCCTAGACTCAAATGAGACATTTATGACACTAGGGTTACAGTTAAAGCTTCATGACCATCGTGGAAACAGGGATGCAAAGACTGTAAGAGAAAAGACAAGGACGGTAGCACTAAAATATTGTCTTTGGACTGGATAGGGAAATCATTCTTATGAATTCTCAACAAAATATCTGCCAGCACAACACCTGAAAACACAACACCTGTAAACATCCAAACTTGGATGGACGAATATTTCATCCACCCCTCAATGAAGAGAGTAACACTAATTAGATTCAGTCAGTAGTGTGTGTGTGTGTGTGTGTGTGTGTGTGTGTGTGTGTGTGTGTGTGTGTAAAATGGAAGAGGTCACGAACTGAAGAGGGGGTAGTTCGAGGGACATGGGAAGGATTACAAGAGGAACGGTAGAGATGATGCAAATAGAATGTAACCATGTATAAAATCCTCAAATAAGAACTGAAAATCTGTTTTTAATAAAAGACAAAAAGAGAGAGTTTGGGATGGAGAATGGATATGGGAGGAGTTAGAGGGAAGACTGAGGGATAGATATAATCAAAATACATTGTGTGTATATATTAAGGTCTCAAAGAATTAATACAATATTTTAAAAGAAAATTATGCCCTTTATTATGGTGTTACTTGTCAGGGCTTTGGATGTTTCTGATGAAAATAAATTTAATGTATATCCCCTTAGAGACAGAGAATTTCCATTGAGAGAATGAAAACTACAAAATCTAAGTGAGAGACTCATATCATTTGTTCTTGCCCCAAATGTTATGATAGACTTTGAAGAACCCCCATGGGAGGCCTCACCCTCCCTGGGGAGTGGATGGGGAATGGGATAAGGGAGTTGGTGGGAGGCATGAGAGGATGGGAGGGAGAGGGAACTGGGATTGATATGTTTCTAATTTAAATAAAAATTTATTAAAAATAAAAGAAATTATATGAAATCATGAATTAGGAAAATGTGCAGCTAAACACTGCCTAGGTTTCTGGGGAAAATATTTCTTTAATCTCACTATTACTTACACATATCTTTCACTATATTACTCATTAATATGAGAAAGTATACTGAGAGATTTCTAAAAACAGGGTGCACTTTAATTATGTACCGAATGTAAGCTAAGCTATTAATGGGGTTGAAACAGGAGCATCAACCTGAGAGACGTGACAGTATCACTTTCTACCATGGGTAGATACCACAATATAAAACACACACATCTTCACCACAGTTATGAACACACACACACATACACACACACACCATATTGCAGCCATGGAAAGCGATAAAAAGTCCAAGTTTTATTTTAAATTTGGGTTGCATTTTCTAAAGGCTGGTCTAATCTGAAAGTTTATTATAAAGTTCGAAAACTGAGTAAATTGTCCTCTTTTCCGTACCCTATGATTAAGTTCTTTACAGTATATTCACCATTTTATAAAGTAGTACATTGTTTTGCCATATCTTAAATCAAATCATCACCCTATATAACATGTAATTTATTACACAGCCTTCCCAACATTTTAATTCTTTTATTAATGGATGCCATAAAGTACATATAATTTAAACAGCAATATGAAGTATAGCTAAATTTCAAAATTACCAAAAAATTAATCATATACTGTAATTAATATAAAATAATATTTATATAATCCTAAAGGCCAAATGGATACCATACTTACAGAATATTAACACATAATTAGTGTGCATGTGTGAGAGAGAAAGAGAGAAAATTTAACTAATGTCTCAACTAAACTCTTTGGGGAAAACAGTCTAATTCCTATTATGATAATGTTTCTATGTTAATAAGAAATCAAAGGTGATAGAAAATTTTTAAAGGAAACAGGGTTATACTGTGACATAATGGGAAAATGATTACAAGAATGTATATATTTTTATTTTGAAAAGAAGGAAATGAAACACATGCTTTTTTGTTGTTGTTTTTTTTTTGTTTTGTTTTTGTTTTTTTTTTTTTTTTTTTTTTTTGTTAAATTATAACATGGCCTGTTTTACCTCACCAAAGTCTCTTAATGTGAATTGTAATCATGATGATGCTGTCATAGAGCATCTGCTAACAAGAATCCCAGTGATAGAGAGAGAGAGAGAGAGAGAGAGAGAGAGAGAGAGAGAGAGAGAGAGAGAGAGAGAGAGAGAGAGAGAGAGAGAGAAAGCTGTTAAATTCCCAGGTCAAAACATATTTTCATAGCACAAGATCATGCAGCCAGGATAAAGTTCCTCTGTATGCTGACCTTACCCTTACCTTCTACAGCTCAGAAGTTGGTCCCCGGCAGGATTTTGGAAAGCCTCCTACGAATCTCCTTGGTTTTGATGGAATAGATGACAGGGTTGAGCACTGGAGGAACAAAGAGACGAGTGACAGGAGTGTATGCACATACCGTGGGGCATGCCTCCCATAGCAATTAACACAGCATTGCCCACTATAGAGATGGTGTAGAGGACACCAAAGAGCAGAAACAACCAGTGCTGAGAGGTCTCCAGGCCTGGCCGTCCTGTCAAGATGAAAGGAAGAAACCCCAAGTTGTTGTAGGCTTCACCTCCCATTCCAGGACTCCCTCCTAGATGCTTAGACTTCTGCCCTATAAAGAAAGCAAACAGGCAGTTTCATGTATGGCCTGAAGCCAATATTATTTTCTTTCTCATATGCATGAGGCTCCTCATTTGGAGAAGCTTTGATTTCAATAGCACTCAACTTTGTTTTTTGTGGGGGGAAGGGGGAAAGACTTCTGGAATCTCTTTAGTGTCCCACTGAATTCACCTAGAGATAGACATTTGCCCTCCTTTCTCACCAGTATCTATTACTTTTTCTCACCTTTGAGCCTGTGAATTCATCTCGTTTATATATTGACCAAGGTAAAACTCTTGGTGTCAATGACTTCAATTATTATTTTGATGTGAAACATTTTTAGAAATAATGGATATCTTGCTTATTGTATATGTTGTGCCAATAATTTTATGGTTAAATCTTTAGCTTCTAACTCAATATGCGTAGCTTTCATGCTATCATATGAAGTGGTTTTTTGAAAAGAAATTTTAGCATTACTTGGAATCTTGCAAAAAGAGCATGCATGAAGAAATCTGTTGGGGTTGTTAGTACTGACATCAGTAATGTCATACAGAAATTTTTCTATTACTTTATATCAAAATAATTGTCTGTTATTATCTTTTGGTTACAGAGAAGAAAATCTAACAGTGGCATCTTTGGGAAGTTTCTAAGAAGAGAAAATAAAGTATGATTTACTCTCAATATTCCCTGAACTCATTGAACACCAGGGGAGGAGGCCTTTGATGCTCCCTGGGTAGGGGTGGCACAATAGAGTGGTGGACATACGTGGAAGTGAATGGCTCTACTAGGAAAGGTAAATCCTTGTCCCTGAACAAGAGAAAACAAATGTGCATGGAAAAGCACCATAATCGGAGATCAGCCAGACTCCAGTGCTTAGAAGTCACTGACCACGGTAGGTGGCCTGCATTTCTCTACCTCTCTTTTCTCTCCGGGTGACATTTTATTTCAAGTTATAAGATGCATATGCAAAAGTAGAAAACATAGATTCTATATGAACAGAAATTACATCTTCTTAAATACCATTTTAAAAATTATTAATAAAATTTGGATTAATCTTTCTAAATATTCTTCTAGAAAAACATAAACATATTGAACAATAATATGAATGTTAAAGTTTTGGTTCCCTCAGAAATCAGTCTATAAACCCTATTTGACAATAGTTTTAGTGGAGATAGAGAAGTAAAAGTCCAATGAGAGTTGTTTCAGTTATCATTAATAACAGATAAAGAGATTGCAAAGTATCTGAACTCACAAGTTTCATGTAAGTCAAAGATGCCACAAAAAACTGGTAAGTGATCATTTAAAAATTAAAATAAATATTCTCTCATTTTAAATAAAGTATGTAACAAATTAAAAATAATCAAAACCCTGTCTGAAAAAAAACCAACAACAAAAAGAAATTTATCAAAAGAAGCCTCTCATGAAATAGGTACTTTACCCCTGTTGCTTACCTTTCATTGTTTTACTCATCAATAAGATAAAATGTATTGAAATACTTCTGTAATGTTAGTACAGTCCTGTTTTAAATCTAGGAGATATATAGACTAAGCCAGATGTTATGGCATAGTCCTGTAAGCCTACCATTAGAGGGATTGAAGCAGGGCCCTCTCCTTCTCCCTCCACCCCAAACTCTTCTTTCACTAAATGAGTGTGTATATGTGTGTGCTTGTGTGTGTGTGTGTGTGTGAACATGTGTGTGTGCATGTGTGTGTATATGTGTGCATGTATGTATATATATATATATAGTATCTACTATATTTTATGTTGTTTATTTGTATTCATGACAGTATTCACAAGAATTTTTGCTTACAGAAAACTTTATGTATAGTTCACCAGGGTTATACTTGGCATAAATTTCTTACCTTCTATACCATTTAAATACATATACATATGCATACATACATACATATATAATGACAGAAACAACCGGTCAAAATGTGTGAAAAATGTAATGAAAGGAAATGTGTAATAAAAGCATCTTAGATGTACGTTGTAGTGTAATTGGTAACCACTTAACTGAGTAAGTCTATATTTTATTATTTTTCCTCATTATCAATTTGACCACTGATGCAACAGTGTCAGAATGATCATGGGGTAACTGACTGCTGAGATCTGCTACAAAAATGATAATTTCATGTCTGATACTATAGTTCTAATCAAAGACCCAAGGCGGAAAGGTCATAGACCCTAGACTAGAACTAACTAGCATTATTTTGATCTAGGATAGAACCTACTAGCATTATTTTACTCTATTCTCATGAAGTTCAGCTGTCATAAAATTTAGCCAGGTAGTGGTGGCACATGCCTTTAATCCCAGCACTCAAGAGGCAGAGGCGTAAGAACTCGGTGAGTTTGTGACCAGCCTGATCTACAAGAACCAGTTCCAGGACAGCCTCCAAAGCCACAGAGAAATCCTGTCTCAAAAAAAAAAAAAAGAATTTATAATATTTATATTTATTCCCATTGACCTAGGCTGCTGTCAAGATGGTCAGAAAATCGTTTTGCATTGGGCAACATTCAGCAAAAAGATACATGGGAGATCAAAGTGGTGAGAATAAGTGACTAAGTACTTGTCCCTAAAAGGAAAACCTTTACCAATCCCACTGCCATAAAAGCCAGTAAGCATCATGGATAATCAGGTGGAAAGAGTGTAAGAGATGGAGAAGGCAGGGGAGTGCTGTGAAATGCTGTCTTCTAGCCATGACATGGAAATTACATTCATGAATTCATAGCATCTATGGTATGTGCAAGGGGTGGCAAGATCAAGCCAGTAAAAACTCTTGTGTAGAAGGGGAAAGTCTTGTCCAGGCCCCACCAACTACTGAGGAAGCCATTGGCAGGTGATAGCTGTTGGTGGTGGTGGAAGCATTCTTTCTATGGAAGTGGCATGCTCCAGAGGATGGCTCACACCCATGCGCATATAAGCAGCACTAATTGGGTTTACTGGGTTAACTAAAGAAACAAAAACAAGAAGCTGGAAAGGGAACAGGTTGAGAGGGACATGGGGAGACTCAGAGGAGGGAAATGGGGAGAGTGGATGTGGTCATAGTTCATTGTACACATATATGAAGTATTCAATGAGAAAGAAAAATATAATGTCAAAGAATCATGGAACTAGAGATATTGCTATGTGATTAAAATCACTTGATTCTCAAGCATGAAAACCTGAGTTTCCATGGCAACATCAAAGAAATGGCAACAACTCAGCCAGCCAAGCAAGACCAATGTGAGTGAGAGAAATCTCATAGGGCCCCAACCCTAGATGAAAACCTTTAAGCAATTAATTACTTATAAGAGAGGAAGAATCTATCCTCTTCAGCAATTAACCCCCTAGTTTATAATCCAGTTCCAAGTGGTCAGTCCTGTACACATGCATACATGAGCAGCACTGATATACTCAACAGGTTGTATTTATATATTTATTAGTACATATAGAAAACAATGATAATTTTTAAAAGAACAGGAATATCAACCATGTAGAGAACTGGAAGTGGATGTAGGGAGGGATTAATATTGTAAAAAGTATACAAATATGAATTTTTAAAAATAAATATAAAAAATAATGGAGGCTTGTAGTGAGATAGTCCTTCTGTGGCACTGACCACACCCATTGGGGGGTGTAGCCATGGGCGGAAGTGACCTGTGGAAGGAGGTCGGAGGGGGCCAGGAAAGGCTCTCTCTTTCTGGTGTGACTCGGACAGGAGAGGATCGGGTTGAATTTCTGGTGTTCATCTGTCTAGGTTGTAAGTTATTTCTCCCTGAATAAACATCTATTCGGCCTATTTGTTTATCCTGATCCTTATTTACCGCAATAGAGGCTAATTTCAAGAATTAACATTGAACCAAAAACTACAGTATTTTCATTTATGAAAGCCCAACACCTGTAAACCTATCACAACAGTGGGACAAGTTGTAGAAAGAGGAGAATTGCCGGGGCTTAATGGCTACCAGCCTCTCCCCATATACACTGAGAGAATCTTTTTCAAAGAGAATGCAGAGTAGCACATCCACAGTCCTCTTCTGATCACTCCACATACACACAGACAAATACACCCACATATGAACAACACTACAGAGAGAGCTCTACTGTAACCTTGAAGGCATCTTCACCTAGGTCTCATATAGACAGTCTAAGTTTTACTTGCCATTTGATTAGATTTTTTTGAAGGATGGTCTAATCTACAAGCTTGTTAATGGGCCAATGCTACACTATTTGATGTCTTCCATACACTCTAATTCTTTTAGTTATTTAAAAACTTTATAAAATTGTTTATTTTCTGTAATTTCATAAACTTAAGCTCTAAATTGTTGACTTTCTTTTTTCTGTCATCAAAATTGCCCGAGAATCTTGTGATTGCATAAATTTAGGCACAATTAATTTTATATATTCCATGTGTTTTGTTACACATTGATATCATTGATACTATGTATGCTTACATATAACTTAAATTATAATATAAAACTTATCTAAATTTCATTATTACCAAAATACTTTTTAATAAAATTCACATACAAGCTCATTCATCTCATTTTAAAGGCCAAATAGACACCATATGCTATGTAAAATAAATATTTATGAGCATAGTTATTGTACAGGTAGATGGGTAAGGTGAAAGAGTTTTAACTAATGTCACTTTGCTATAATCTTTGGGAGAAAAATCTAATTGCCATTATAATAGTGTTTCCATACCAGTGAGAAATCAAGGGTGATATATGACTTCTAATAAAGAAAATGGGGACATATTGTGACATAATGAGAAACAATTATGAGAATTTTTTATTTAAAAGAAGGAAATGTAATACCTATGTTTTTGCTAAATAATGAATGATCCATCTTACCATATGAAAGACTATGGTTTAAATCCTAAGTACTATCACTCTGTCTTCCAATATCTGATAACAGGAATCATGGTGGTAAGTTGGGAGATCAAATGGTGTTAAAATTCATTTTCTACACTGGTCTTCAAAATGCAAACTG